CTCTTCTCCTGGGGGTCGGGGGCATGAAAATGTGGGGTTTGACCCACTAAAGTCCCCTCGGTGGACATCCTGTAGCGCTACCGGAGTGTCTTCGGTATGACCGGTGGAACTAGTGCGTAGTAAATGACACCTAACTTCAAATGAAATTGGTACATTTGCCACATCAAACAAAAAAAACATGTAAAATACAAGCCGAACATAAAAATCAATAATTTAATGCCAAATTCAGAATTGCAAAATAACTAGTACTTTAGTCTAGATTTTTGTACCATAAATGTACACTTAGGGTCTCTTATAGATGAACAAACCAACTTACCTTCTTTAACTCGTTCCCTTTCAGTATTGAATAAGAAGGTGCCGAATCTGCAGGAGTAGAGGTGATCAACGATGGTGATGAGCAGACGCTCCGTGAACTCGAATGCTGTGGGGAACTGCTGCTGCAGCTGCCACACGCAGTCCACCCACTGCACGAACACCGGCGACCTGTCCGCGTCTGAGTGACGCTCGTCACCGTGACCTATGCGCTACACCCGGATACGAACATCATCACCATCATCATCACTATCTTTCCACCAAACCCTCTGGGTGATAAAAATGAATGATTACTATCTGTTAACAATATATAAATTTGGTTTTAAAATTAATCCTGCTCGAAGGACCAAAATTAATTATATGTGCACAGAATAAACACAATTTTATTTCTATGGTTATATCTAACACTAGTTACCGTGGGTTTCAGAGTCAAAAGTCTCTGTATAAAAAATATCGTCATCCCTGTCATTTTTGACAAAACAGAAGTAATATGTTTGAAACGGGGTTTTTTGTCTCAGAAACCCACGATTAGATAGTGTGACTATATCATTCATAGGTTTTTAATCTTATCAAAAAATTCTCACATTACACTGTGAATTAAACTAAACTTAAAACAATATGATATGTTTATTACATCAAAGACTTACCAGTTGGAACTTATGTCCGAACGCGAGCCATTCCTTCTCGATGAGGACCTGGAAGCCGCGGAGAGTGCGGTAGTATGGGTCCAGCATCAGCATGGCCAGCGCAGTGAGCTGCGCCGTGCGGTCCCAGCCGTCGGAGCAGTGCACCAACACTGACGTCTTGTGGTTTTCTACCTATAAATTATAATATTGCTTTTGCTTTTCAGGGGTTCCGTACGGCACCCTTATAAGATCACTTTGTTGTCCGTCCGTCTATCAAGACCCATTTTCTCCGGAACGCGTGGAATTATCAAGCTCGAAGTTATATCAAATATTCAAGTCTACTGTCTTTTGGAGCTGTGAAAAAAATCAAACTTCTAAGCCAACGTACAGGAATAAAACCTATATGGTACTTCTCGTGAACTCAGAATCTTGAAATTTGGTTAGTAAGGTTAGTTACTCATAAGTTTGTACGGAACACTTGGTACGCGAGTCAGACTCGCACTTGACCGGAATTTTCTTGTTTAGCAAGTATGGGCGGGTCAAAGCTTAAGCCACGTCCCCTACCAAACAATACGGCTTTGGAAACAAATATCAAAGTGTACTTGACTCACCTTATCAACAATGCGAACTGCGCCTGCTAATATGCACTTAATATGTTTCAACCAACAACTTGCTTCGATACCACTAAACCATCTAGAAATTATTAAAGATCATCAGTCAGTGTGGAGCTAAGAAAAAAATTAGTAACCTATGTCTACCTACTTCTAGACTCTAGATCTGTGCTAAATTTCCACGAGATCTAGAGATACGTTCAAGCAAACATTCATCCATCCATAAAACCATCCATCCATACAAACATTTGCATTTACAATATTACTAAGAATGTTTTGTAATATTAATAAACTTACCTCGTTTGATCAATTTGTGGAAAGCAAAGTTCTTTTAGTTTACGAAGACTTTCTCTCATTACATGAATGTTGTGTATATCCAAAAACACCAGTTCAGCATTCTGATATGCATCCTCTGATTCATAGCTGGAAAACCAATTTATTTTTATGACATTACTAGCTGTCGCCCGCAATTCCGTCTGCGCGAAATTAAAACAAAAACTTAATTAGTAGCCTATGTGTTATTACAGAGTATGTTCTACATGTATGCCAAATTTCATCGAGATCTGTGCAGCCGTTTTGGAGATATATTCTAACAAATCCATCCATCCATCTAAACATTTGCATTTATAATATTAGAAGATTTAACTAACACCCCCTGCTGCATTAAATTCATAATTGGTGACTGAGGATTCTATAGGACTCCGAGTGCTGGGTTTAAATACACAATTTGATGATATTAGGTACATAAATAACATACCCGCCTCCTTTCGCTTTATTGGCGATCGCATTAGCACTAGGTCTGGCATCCATTATGAACAACTTATGCGCCTGCGCATTGGCATCCATTATCAATTGTATGTAGCGTTCATCTTCCCGACTACGTTTACCACTCACCTGTAAAAACAAAAATATAAAATCCATAGCTGTCACGGTATTAAAAAAAACTGAATTAGTACCCTATGTGTTCTTCCAGACTATTGTCAATTGACTTATAACAAATATATTCTCATCTCTTTCATTCTCATTGAGAAGAAAAGAGACAGCTATATATTTTGAATATAAGTCTTAATGAAACACTGTTACATTTTTGCTGTCGTAAATTGAGCCGATACATAGATTGATTAATAGACTCATACAAAATAAGACAATAATTACTAACAAATTACTTACTAATACATAAGAAAAATAGTGAAAAAATCATCACAATGTTTCATACCCCAACTAAAGGCTGACTGCATCTTGTTATAGTTGCTTGTGAGCTGGGATGTATCCATGCAAGCACTGGTATACGTCCTCGAGATCTAAAAGCCGCTACTGAACGTAACAGATCATCATTAGCAGCTGCGGGCACAGCCCATATTGACGGGTAGCTGTCACATATCTCGTATTTATCATTAATGCGAGTTATACGCCACATGTCATTGTTAACACCCTGAAAATTAAACATTTTAGTATAATTTCTAAATTAAGGAAACAGTAAAACATCAAATATGGCAGCAATTATCCTTAAGTTTTTTTTAGATATTTTATGAAAATAAAAAAAAGTAACCTTATATTGTATTTTAACCAAGAATCTTATAACACAATAATTTGAAAATTTGCAAATTTAAGAGAAAAATTTATAACATAAGAGTTGTTTGCATAAACAAGCAGTTGGAACAAAGAGTTCAACAACTCCCATTTACATGTGCAATACCAGAGAAACCACAGAAGCGTTACCACCCTTTTCTGGTTTAAATTGGAAAGAAACCAAGTTATTAAATATTAAAAGATTCATACCATTCTTCTCAACTCTGCTATTGGTTCATATACATGCCAGCCATCTTCTGGGAAGCTTTCTGAGTAGCTGAAGGCAAACAGCGGCAATCTATGTGAAAGTGGGAATGCTAACTGCTGCAATTTCTCAAATATACCCCGACGTGAATGATTCTCTTGTTTGTGCGCAAAACGTAAATTGCGCATATCCTATAGTAAATGAAAAACAGTTTATTAATACTTATTTCTCTAATTTTACAATGATACTACAAAATGGTGCAGTCTGTGACTGTAATAATTCAGTGAGGCTATGTGTCTTTTCCAGTTGTCTGACCTACCTTACAAAATACTTCAATGCCATATGAATTTTCACCTTTGGATGATGCACCACCTACTTTTTCTATGCGGGATACCTTAAAAATTAAAATTAAAGCAAGTTTGTATCCTTAATGAATCTAAATAATAACAAATGCATGGATAAAATATTTAAAAAAAGTTTTAACTTACAACACCCAGAGGTACACTCAAAGTTGTCTGTAGTGATGTAGCTTCAGTTGGACGGAAGTGTAATTGAAAGTTTGTGACTTTTAGTACACCACGTGAAGGGCCACTGTATGGGCATAAGTATGTCACATCTCTTGCTACACCCATCACCTTCTCACCATCCAGCAACTGAATATCTCCTAATAACTGTGACTAAAATTACAACACCAAGTAAATATTTGATAAATAAAGCAATATTAATATACTGAAACAGATTCTATATAATTTTAAATAAAACTATTAAAAAGATACACAAACAAAAAATGTACAAGCCTTGGTAAAATCACTATATTCTTTTTGTCTTCGAATACGATTGACAAACAAACAAACATGAATAGCTTTATTTTGACTCATGATTCACCAAGTCAGTGTTAATTTCACAAAATATAGAAGGTGACTATTTGCAGACAGTATACTACTTTATAACTTCCAGTTAAATTTATCAGGAAGTGACCAAACGGTTATAAGATTCAAGAAGAATAAATTAATCCTTTTAGGAAACTTACGGAGTCCTGTCCGTGTTTAGAATTCAATGAACTAGATTTGGAATCTGAATCCAAAGAATCAGAGCTTGCATTTTTAGATAAAGAGAAATCTGAATTTAACAACTCTGAACTATTGTGTTTGTCCATTATATTTAATTGTTAAAAGAGAAATTTATGAAAATAATAAACAATTTCTATGCTTTCTTATTGAAATTAAAATTTTAGGTGACAAGTGACATATTGACAGCAAATGTAGTTTAACGTCAATCGCTCGCGAATCAGCATTGGAATATAGACAGTAGTGCGATATTATAAAGTCTTTATCTAGAAAAAAAGTCCCACAAACGCAGCGCCACTCTCGGATTGTTGCCAGCCTCGCAGTTTTCAGGTTCCCTAAAATTTTAAGTAGTTTTTTGTAAATGTGTGTACAATTTTAAATATTCCATTTTTTCGTATTTTCAAAACTCTAATCGTCAACATCATTTCTCACCTATTACAATATATAAACTTTGGGCATTAGGATAAAAATTTAAGTAGGATATATTAAATCAATAGCAATTAGTTACTGTAACCACAGTTACTAATGATTGTTACTTCATTTTTTTGTCTTCTACTAATATTCGTTTGTTTTAGATTTAGTTAAGACTTTAAAATAACATAAAAAAAACATGAAGCTGCCAGTAAGCGTTCCATTGAACACATACTTAGCATATAAACAAGATAAAGAAGTGGAACCTCAGCGCATTTTGAAATCCGAAAACTTTGATTGGGATATAAACCATCCAAAATCCCTTTCTTGCCTATGCGTTGAAAAGTTAAGTGAGAATTGGACTGGTAAGTAAAATGTTAGGCTTTATTGTTAAAGTTTGATTTTTTTAACTGCCGTTCTCTTTGTATTAGTGAATAACTAATACAGAAATTACTTTATTCAACTACCATTGAATTAAATTGCCCTTAATTGATTATTAATGAATAGAGGACAAAATTTATGAAGACCAACGGGAAATAAACTAATAATGTGAGACAGTTACAATAGCTTACACTCGACAAAACCTTTCTTTAGGTTCATCTAAATTAAACCAACTACTAGCAAAAGATCGCGAATTATTTCTACAAATCTTGAACACCGACGTGCCGCTTCAACTTTTGGTGGATAACATAAAAAATGATATTTTTTGGAAACGATGTTACTTATCTAAGTGGAATGATTCTTTGCTATTGACCGAACAGAAACCTTGGATCACCTTATTCATGGAGCGTTTTTATGCAGAAGTATTGCAAAATATGAATCCAAAACAATACGACCCAGAAAAAGTAAGACAAAAAACTCTTATGAATATGATAACCAACTAATAAATTAACGTTGATATTGGTTGACTTAAATAATTTATTTAATTATATAATAAAATAAAAGAAATCTTTTCAAGGTAAATACTTTAGTTAAACTCTGTGGGCCTTATATACAATCACTAAACATTAAGAGCTTAATACCTTCGGATATACCAGTTCAGAGAACTGTTTCACCAGAAATGGAAAACCTCCTAACCAGCCGTCGACAAAAGGACCAAAAAACAGTTAAAAACCAAGGGCTAAATAGAGGTGAGTAACACACTACCTTTTTTGTTTACTCTTACAGTTAAATAAAGTATGACAAATACATAATTTATATAATTACTTTTCCAGATCACATCTCTTTACATGCTGCTTTAGGTAGTCTAAGTAATTTAACTGAACTTCATATATCTTATCAATTAAGTTCTGTCGGCGTTGAATACAGAAAAGATCAGTTTCAGTTCACTAACAACGATGCTAGAAATTTAGCACATGGCCTGGAAAAGTGTAGCCTTTTAAAAGTTCTTAGGTATGTATTTGAAACTAAAGTCTGCTATTGATAATTTTGAATTATCGATTTTTATACATTTCGACGGTTTTAAACCTGGCTATGAGCCAAAAACTTGGTTTGAGCCCCTTTCATCATAGGGTCAAGGTCTGTACCATATTGAAACAAATAAAGACCTTAACACTTATACATTCCGCTTTCAAAGGTTCGTAGATGATGACCTTGCAAGACTTGCAAACGCAATAATCTTTATGGTATTAAGTAATCCTGTGCTTGATTTGAATGAAATTTGCTATTGATTTTAAAATTATGTTTTTTTATAGTTTGTATTGTCGATTTTGCCTCTTAATTCCAGAATAACAAGAAGTGACATGGATTGCCAAAGAGTAAAGTATATATTACGTGGTTTATCTGATAACTCAAACTTGGAAACACTAGACTTCAGTCATTGTAAGATTGGAGATGAAGGAGCATTGTCCGTAGCCAAATTTGTATCGAAACATGATAAACTGAGAAACCTTGTCTTGGTCGACAATGTTTTTGGTAAAATAATATTTCCCTCTTTTTCGTAGCCGGCTCAATATTTATTTTTAGCAAAACAAAAGCAATTTTCTATGTCATACCTTAAAAGAAAGTATAAAAATATTTTTTAGGTCCCAATGGTATTGAACATATAGCACACGTATTGAACCATACGAGTTGCGGTTTAAGAAGCTTGGATTTGCGATTGAACAATAAACTTGGCTCTGACGGCGTTGCTCATGCTGCGGTTGCAATCGCACGAGGCTGCAACTTGACATCGTAATTCATAAGTTTTATACTTTTTTCCTTGGAAAGTGGAAAGGGCGTAAAAAAATTACAATTGCTATTAATCGACTAGTGAACTTAGTAACTAAGTATGGCATAAATTTAAATTTCCATATGTAAGTGATAATTTAACTTTAAAACGATTAACAAATAAACACAAGTCATTTAAAACTGCAGGAGGCAAAATCTAGGTCATCATTCAAGTCACTGTGATTCATACCTACTGATTTAAAAAAAAATTACGAGATTTTGAACTTTAATTTGATTTATAGTTTAAATATATCTGGCTGTGGTATAAAACCAGATCCACTACAAAAGCCACCAGCGGGGGTTTGGTCAGCCTTAAATGCTGAGAATCCTCCAACTTGTGGTGATTTATTAGCACGAGCAATCGGCTTGGTGAAAACCCCACTCAGGTCGTTGGATATAAGCGTAAATAATATCGGATCAGTAAGTTCACTTTATAAATTATCTTGTGTGAAAAAATTAGAGCAAACAGAATTCAAATCTTTCATAATATTTTCAGCCAAGTGATATAACGTTATCGAATGCAATTTGTCTCAGTTATTTGATAGACATAAACTTGAAAAGATCGGGAATGAGTTCGATGGCAATGGCCATAGCTGAATCTGCAGCTGCTGCACAAAGACTGAGGAGAGAGGCAGAAAAGGGAATAAGATTTAGAAGAAGCGCTGGTAGAGTTGTTCAAGCTAGACGAGTTGCTAAGGGCATGAACATAGGTAACCATGTACAAGTTAAATTTACTGGATTGATTTGACGATGAATGATTTACTTTTTCTTGGTTCTTTGGACAACAAAAAATAACACTCTGTTTAATAGATGCAGATCCAATATTGCTAGCTCAACAGCTATCAGCGCGCCCATCCATTGTATCTGTAACTTCGGAAGAAGGAACTTATAACATTTTTGCTCAGCCATTATCGACTGATTTCGGCTTTGTACCAGCGCTTAAGGTACGTTTTTGAAGCCATTGTTATTGAGCTCATAACGTGCTACAAACCCCTCATAAACTGTTTTGATTTAACAATCGATAGTATTGCATTCAACAGAGTCCCTTACCATCATCTCGTACATCATCAATAACCGGTGCATCAACATCAAGACGGTCAAGTCATCATGCTGTTTTGGAGCCGGTTAAAGTAAGTTTAAACCAAAACAATGATAAAATATACTATACGAAGTTGAAATATTGAAAATCTATATTGCAATTTCTTTCCAGGAAGTTCGCCGTACTGCACTTGTGCGACGTCGTTCGGACGGTTCGCTTTTGGAGCCCCGATATGCAAATACTGAACGTCATATAAAAATATATATCTCAAATGAAGATCAATTTTAAATATAATACAATATACGTGAATAAATGTCTACTCAAGAAAACATATTTTTTTAAGATTTAAGTTCATTAAAGTACCTCAATTAATACATTGCAAAATCTACCAAAACTAGTAATATTACTATCACTTTCACATATTATAGCATCTCAGAACTGAGATTGAAAGTTGAGAAAGATAAATAAAATAAATTGTTCAGTGATGGTGAAATTTTATAAAATATAATTGAATGTTTAGGTAGATTTTAATCTAGTCTATTTTAAATATATTAAAATATTGACTAAATTTAAATTATTATTAGCAAAAATTATGAAGTAAAAATTACATTTTTAATAATTGTCATACAAATTTCCCTTTAAATTTACCAAATTGTAAATTTTTGCCGTAAATGGCAGCATAGCTGGCAACTTTGCCATGAAACGTCCGTAAAAATGGTAAAAAACCAGTATTGAGTACAACTTTGTAACTTTTAGTAGTCTGTTTGTATGTCATGGTAGCGAATATGTCAGTTATTTTGTCTCAATAATCTGTGGTTTATTCAGTCAGCCATGTTTAGTGTTTGAAATGGTGGTATTTCAATTTAGTGAATGTAAAAAATAAGTTGTGAATATAATTCATTATATTAGACTTTCTATATTTGTGTTAGTGAATTTTCGATGTTTTTAGTGAAACTCGTGTGATATTACTATCGTGACAATGAATTGGGGTACAGAGCTTTGGGTAAGTCAACACATTGTATCGTTTTTCTTCTGTTACCTAGTGACTAACTTGAGAATTAACTTTTAATTTGTATTCCTGAAGTTGCGACTTTTAAAATTTCAAAGGTTTTGGACGCGGAAAAAATGTTTAAACAAATTTCGTTGTTTCGTTTCATTTCAATGTATTTCCAAGTGTAACAAGTACGTCTAGAGTTTGGAAAGTCGGTACACTTATTTTGTACCAAAATTTTACATTCTATGCATTGTTTTTTATTTAGCTGCAAGTAGAAAGTTAAAGTTGTACTAATCTTATGAACTAGCTATAATATATTAATGTGCACATATGTTATGGAAGATTTAAACAAAATAATAAATAGGCTTAAAATTAAATATTTTGTGTGACTTTAATACCATTATAATAGTCGATATCATTATAAGGTAAACTTGTTAGAGAATGAACAATGTGAAGGCTCTTATCATGCCTGTGTTGAAATTAGCTGGCATTGTTGACATCATTTATATTAGTTTGAAACTTTTTCATAGTCATAAAGCAATAAGTTAGTTATCGAGTAAATAAAAGTAAAATATCTTCTTCACTTGATTAAAATTGTAGGAAAAACATTGTCAGTTGAAATGTAAAGCAGTGAATTATAATGTAACACATAATTTTCTACGCTAAACAGAGATTAGTTCTGTCATTTGACATTTGTACCAAATATCTCAAAATAATACAACATCAATTCTTGGTGGTTGTTTAAAAGTATGTATCATAGATAGAGCTTTTTAATTAAAAAGATATATATAACCACAACTTTGACTATTATGTTTTTATTTTGTGACTATATTAATGGGTTAAAATAGTTTCTGTTTATATTATTATTGTTTAAAATATATTACATATTTCAATTACATTGAACAATTTATTGTTATTATACGAGTCAATGCTTTATTTCTTAATTAACTAATTTCCCTAAAACACATTATTCCTGTGATGTAATTGTGTAATTACATTATTATTAACTCAATTACTTTATTGTTTATCCATAAAACCAGCCACAACCTGTTGAAAACCTAGATAATGAGAAAAAGTTAACATATTTCATACAAATGGTACATAACTGATGGTAATTATCTACCTGATGGCAACCTCATCAACAACTACGGTCTTTTTAATTATAGTCAAACTCGGATAAGTATTGCGGTATCTTCCCGCTTCTAGATATTTCTCTCTAACACCAGTTACACCCTTATGGAGGTTGTAAGTCGGGATTGACTCTGATATATAAAGGTTTTTCATATAACCATGTTTAACTGTATTATTTTTATGCAATTTGCAAAATGTTCACTTTTAAATTAGAATGACACTGAAAAGATTTTAAGCTTTTGAGAATTATTCTAATAACAGTTTTTTAAAGTTACACTAATTCCCAAGCCTTTTATTTATTATTGAAGTTTGAACTTAATACTTCTAGTAAGTTTTTTTCTGCATATATAAAAATAATCTATTTCAATATAATCCATTGTTTCTGTAGAAAAAGTAAACATAATTTCTATCCACCTGTATTAACACATGATGTTTACTTAATAGAAAACTTATGTAAGAGTAAAAACTTATCATAGTTCCTTCAGTATTGTTCACTTAGCATTTTATACATATTTTTCAAAAATTTAAAAAAAAATCTTTTCTTAAAAACCTCTAAAAAGTAGAGTAATTTATCATGTGATAGTGACTATGTATGCATTATAAAAAAATGTAAGATTTGACGAAAAAGTTTTTTTGAAAATGTGTCTTGAAATTCACTCATTTTAAGATAACTGATTTATTTTGATATTTTGAAAACTTATTGAACACTGGTGAATATTTTATACTGGCTGTCGCCCGCAACAATGTCCGTGCGGAACTAAAAACAAACTTAATAAGTAGCCTATATGTTCTTCCAGACTATGTACTATGTCAATCCCAAATTTCAACCATGTCCATGCAATCGTTCTGGAGATACCTTTAACAAAACATCCATCTAAACATTTGCATTTATGATATAAGGCAAGATATTCTAAGTTTATGGTGTTTTAAAGAGTTTTAACGTATTAAGGTAGTGTTGTTGCGTGTTTATAAGATAGGATAGTGTTGCGCGAGAGTGGTCAGCGTCAGATGCAAGGCCGATACGTACGGCCGGGCCGCATTCCGCTACACTTGCTGCTTGTGAAATGCCCGTTTGCTACGTGCCGCCGATAAACACATAATGCTTACTCAATACAAGTATGTTTAGAGAGATCGCTGTATACTGACATTTCTATTTGTTGAATTATTAAATAGCTATCGCCCTGGACTCTGTCCGCGTGGAATTATAAAAAAAATAGTAGCGTATGCGTTTTTCCAGGCTATGATCTACATCTTTGCCAAGTTTCAGCGAGATGCATGCATATGTTCTAGAGGTACCGTCTAACAAACATCCATTCATCCAGTCCAACTTTCGTCAATATTAATATGTTAACTGCTTTGACAATATTAATGTGGTAGAATTTTTTTAAAAGATCTGATTTTGCCTCATTGTAGGATGAAAACATATTGGAAATGGAATTATAATTCACTTCTAGGAATATCATGTAGGTATTAAAATGTAAGAGTTTTGTTCAGGTTTATGGCTATTTATTTCATGACGTCATTCATTGAACATGTACAAAAACTATGAAAACAATTTTTTTGATACTATAAAAACTGTCCCAATTTTTTGCCTATTTTTATAGTGTGCTTTGTGGACAGGTGTTACGTAACAATTATCTATTGTGGTCCCTGAACTAGATCAGCTGTCGTTTTGTAACCGCGCCCTGGATAGCCGCCATACTTGTCGATGTACTCAATCATCGAAACGAAACGAAACAAAAGAGAACCGATCCGCGTCCATAACTGTGCCATGGTCCCCTTTTTGCACTTCAACGAAGAAAACTCAATACTCAAGACACTACGATGTGGTCTTGAGTCCTTTTTTGGCCCGCAACGAATTTTTATTTTATTAACCGACTTCAAAAAGGAGGAGGTTCTCAATTCGTTTGTATGTTGTTTTTATTTTAGTTCGTCGATAACTCCGCCTCTAGTGGTCCGATTTTTATAATTCTTTTATTTTACATCACTATTGTAGCAATTGTTAAACTCGAAACAATTGACCGAAATTAGGATTAAACTATTATGATAAGGAATAATTAGAAGTACGTATTTTATTGTCACTTATTATTAAAAACATAAACTAACTTGAATAAGTTTAGACCTCAATACGAAAAGATAAGAATTTGTGACACAATTTACTTTAATTAATTATTGACCTAAAACATTTAACTATGTGCGTTTCGGAATGGCAGAGAAGTTATTTACATATGTAATTATGGTAAACTCTCTAACACTTGCACGGGTAAAATTATTTTTGACCGCTTAACCGACTAAGATACCCGTAAGCTACAAATCTTAACAGAAAAAGAAACGTTATTATCCCATTAACCTCGAATATCTACTTCTAAAAACCTGCCCTTGTGATTTTTGAATGAGCCTAATTTGTAAGCGAAATCGAATATAAAAAAAATGTTGTTTTCACTAACCTGTTTGATTATTTAAGCTTTACATTATCACGGTCGATTCTAAACGTAAAACTTGTTTTTTTTTAATCAATTATTTTTTATGCAATTAGGCTAACAAACGAGTACACGTTTCTCCAAAATTTAAACGAAAATGTCAATATTATTTAAATAATTTTTGGCTTTATGTTTGCCTAACGCACTAAGTTTTATGATTTTATTTTTATACTAGCATTCGCCCGCAACTCTATCCGCGCGTATTAAAAAAAACATGTTTAGTAACCTATGTGACCAGACTGCAGTAGACATCTGTGCCAAATTTCATCAAGATCCATTAAGCCGTTCCGGAGATACCTTCATCCATCCATCCATCCACCTAAACATTCGCATTTATAATATAAGTAAAAAGTAAGATAAGAATAAAACTTATAGCTAAAAATGAAAAGTTAATTGCCGCTTTATAATGTATCACATTTCCCGCAGTCATTATTACGAATATTATCACAAACTTGGCATGGCCTTAATGTTTTTTATACTATGTAACAATTTGCTCCATAAATTAAGTTCTCAAATATTTTCGTAGGCGTCATGTAAGTGGGCGGTCTTCTTTAAATTGTCTCATTGTAGGAGTTGAAAGCCTTAAATGTCTTTACCATAGCCAATTTATATGCTAACAATACCTGTGTAGAAATAAGTTCGACCATAAATGAGATTATTAAAGAAATTGTCATTGTCATTGACTTTTAAAATAACTAAATATGACACTTTGGTTGTGAAAGTTCTGTTCTGTTCATAGGCGAAGTCATAAAAGACGATTGCAATATAAAATAGTACTCAGAGAAAGGATAATCGCAAGTTAAAAGCAGTACACACTCTTAAATTCAAAAACCTCCCAAGAAAATTTAAATAAACGATCGTAAGGAACAGTTTGGGAGTTTAATAGTACGTATGACGCCAGATAGCCAAATAGGTTTAATTAAATCGTGTCCCATCAAGAGGCATACAAATGTTATGCAATCTTTATTATCTTTGTGGGGATTTCTTCGCCTCGACTTTCGTATATTCCTTACAGTTTTTGTCTTACATCGTCAACAATATCACCATGGCAAAATTAACAATATGCAGTTTCAGAACCATGTATGAATACAAAACGATCTGATGATAATACGAATGATCTCATTTTAAACAAACTTTGTAACTTTTTTTTCACAGTTTTACCCCAAGTTTCCATTGCAAAAACATGTGTCCGAAAATATATTGTCATCTCTGTAATAGTTGAACAAACTTACAATATATTTGTTTAGATATTGCTGCAGTCTGCAGTGATCCACAGCCAACGTCAAAAATAGTTAAGATCGTATAAAAATATTTACAGTACAAAAATAGTTAGAGAGACGTGAGCTGTTTGTACAAACTTCACTTGATTTAATTTTATTGATCAGGCTATATACTTGT